GCGCCAGCGGAGCCGCCGGTCTGCCGCCGGCGACGCCGCTCTACCTGCGCCCGCCCGACGTCACCCGGCCCAAGCCGCGTGCGGCCGGATGACGATCGAGCCGCCCGCGGCGGAGGAGGGAGTGTGGCTGCGCCCCCTGGGCGGGGCCGACCCGGCGCTGCTGGCGGCGCTACACGCCGAGAGCTTCCCCGACGCGCCTTGGTCCGCGCGCGCCTTCGGCGAGCTGCTGGCGCTGCCCGGCACCGCCGGGCTGCTGGCCGCGCAGGCACCGGCCGACGCCGGCACGCCGCTGGGCTTCCTGCTGTGGCGCGTCGCGGCGGACGAAGCGGAGGTGCTGACGCTCTGCGTCCGGCCCACGGCGCGCCGCCGGGGGGTGGCCCGGCACCTGCTGCGGACGGCCCGGGAGCCGATGCGGGCGGCCGGAGCGCGGCGGCTGTTCTTGGAGGTCGCGGAAGACAACGCCCCGGCCCGCGCCCTTTACAGGGCGATGGGATTCCGCGAAATCGGCCGGCGGCCGGCTTACTACCAGCGCTGGAAGGCGGCGAGGATTGACGCTCTGCTTTTGGTAGCGGGCCTGGAAGCGAGTTGAAACCGCCTCCTCATGCCCGTCGTCTCGCTAGGGATTTTCGTCCATAAAGAGGCATTGCGGGCTTGCGCGAAGATTTTCTTTAGTGTCAATAATGATCATTGCAAGCTGCAATCACTGTCGATATACAGGCCGGGATTCTTACTCTTGGAGCAAACATCCACCATGTCCGAACAGGCAAAACCCAGCGAGCTGCTGTCGCTGACCGCCAATATCGTGGCAGCGCACGTGCAGAACAACTCGGTGGCGGTCGCCGACCTGCCCACACTGATCCGCGATGTGTACACGACGCTGTCGAACGTCGGCGGGCAGGCGGAGAAGGAGGCGGAAAAGCCCGTGCCGGCGGTTCCGATCAAGAAGTCGGTCCATCCCGACTACATCGTCTGCCTGGAAGACGGGAAGAAGCTGAAGATGCTCAAGCGGCATCTCAAGACGGCCTACGATATGACGCCGGAAGAGTACCGCGAGAAGTGGGGCTTGGCGCCGGACTATCCCATGGTCGCCCCGAACTACGCCAAGCAGCGCAGCAAGCTGGCCAAGGAAATCGGCCTGGGCACGCGCGCACGCCGCGGCTGAGCCCGGCTTTTCCTTCGGTCGATCCCCGCTTCGGGGACTGGGTACACGGCGTCGCGAGCCGCATGGCTGGCGGCGCCGTTGCGCTGTTCTTATAGTGCGGTCGTGAGGCCGTGACCGTCCCGGGGCGGTCGTGGCGAGAGAAGCGCCGTCTTGCGAACAGAGAGGGCCGCGCCGACCGGCGCGGTGGCCATCAGGGTGACGAATCACGACGCCATGCCGGACCGCATCGAGAAGCTGTGCGCGGACAAGGGCCTGAAGATGACCGAGCAGCGGCGCACCATTGCGCGCGTGCTGTCCGAGGCCACCGACCATCCCGACGTGGAGCAGGTCTACCGCCGGGCGACGCGGATCGACCCGCGCATCTCGATCGCCACCGTCTATCGCACGGTCAAGCTGTTCGAGGAGGCCAGCATCCTCACCCGCCACGACTTCGGCGACGGGCGCGCGCGGTATGAGGAGTCGCCGCAGGAGCACCACGACCACCTGATCGACATGAACACCGGCGAGGTGATCGAGTTCGTCGACCCGGAGATCGAGCGCCTGCAGGAAGCGATCGCCAAGCGACTCGGCTACCGGCTGATCGACCATCGGCTCGAACTCTACGGCGTCAAGCTCGGCCGGCGCGATCCCGAAGCCGCCGCAGGCGAGGCGACCGCGGACGACGCGACCGCGGACAACGGGGCCGAGGGCGGCGGGGCCGAGGGCGCCGATCCGAAAGCCACGGCGGCGGCGAAGGCGCCTTCATGAACGATCTGCCCGCCCCGCCCACGGCCTACGCCGCGCGCCCGGTCGATATCCGCTCGCGCAACTTCCGCCTGCGCCTGGCCGAGACCGCGGCGGAGGTCGCCGCCTCTCAGGCCCTGCGCTACCGGGTCTTCGTCGAGGAGATGGCGGCCAAGCCGACGCCGGAGCAGGCGGCGGCCAAGCGCGAGTTCGACCGCTTCGACGGCTTCTGCGACCACCTGCTGGTGTTCGACGCCGACGCCGGCGGCGAGGGCGACCCGGAGCCGGGCAAGGTGATCGGCACCTACCGCTTCATGCGCCGCGCGGCAGCCGCGCGCGCCGGCGGCTTCTACACCGCCACCGAGTACGACATCTCGCCGCTCGAGGCCTATCAGGGCGAGGTGATGGAGCTGGGCCGCTCCTGCGTGCANNNACATGCAGCTCGTCTGGCGCGGCATCGCCGACTACGTCATGCACTTCGGCGTCGACCTGATGTTCGGCTGCGCCAGCCTGCCGACCGTCGATCCCGACGCGGTGGGCGAGCAGCTCACCTACCTCTACTATCACCACCTCGCCCCGCCGGGGCTGCGGCCGCGCGCGCTGCCGGAGCTCTTCGTCAAGATGGACCGGTTGCCGCCCGACGGCTTCGACCCGAAAGCGGCGCTGCAGGCGCTGCCGCCGCTGGTCAAGGGCTACCTCCGGCTGGGCGGCTTCGTCGGCGACGGCG